ATCTTACTCAAATGGGTCCCTTACCAGCTGTAGAGAGCCCCAATAAATGCATCATGGGGGGAAAATAAAACTGAACAACACATGATGTGAGCAGCCATAAAGATGACCTGGTTAAAGGGAAGAAGTACCGAAGATGTCTACTGAAATACTGAGAAAGTCCCTGTCAGACTGGGAGCTGTGAACCTGGGAACCAGGAGCATCCTTGAGAAGCATGGCCAAGCTCTGGCACCTAGAAACCAGAGACATCCCGAGATCCTCTCAGTAAGAGCAAACCCAAGGAACAATAATGGTAACATCATCTGGAAAGCTGAAGGGTGATTCTGGAAAAAGAGGAAAACACCCTGAGAAAGCAAGAAATTTTAACTGCCATTGGCTGTTCTAACTGCAAGAAGAAGAAAAGTCCCCCTAAATAAAAATTGGTCTGAGAAAATAGAAATTGTCATCTGTTGTCTGTCCCAGGTGAAAGTCAGAAATTAACAGCATCTATTGGCTGCTCAAAGTGGTGGTGTCCAACACTTCCTTATGTCTCTATGACATCAAAACTACTTCCTGTCCAAGATGGAGCTTCTCACTCTCCCTCTTCCTGTGCTGCACATACATAACTCATCCCCTTCCTAAACAGGTCTGAGTGAACTTCCTACCACACCTTGGACCCTTGCTGAGGGTGCCTGGCTGACTCCAAACTCTGTGACATGGATCACTGAAAAGAGACGCTGCCTGTTGCTTTCTTTTTTCCCTCCGAGCCCACACCTGGGGGCAGTCTGCTTTGTCCTCCCACCTCTGGGGTGGCTGGGCTCCTTCTGAGATCTGTCCAGTGTGTTTGGTGCCACAGGTATACCTGTCACTAACCTATCGTATCTGCTGTGACAGTACTGTACAACTTTGCTTCACTAGCAGTAACTGTAAAATGTATATATACTTCATTGCTGGTATTATTGGGTGCTGCAGTAATTAATTGTTGCCATAATTAATTGCTGCTCTATTACTGACTGTTGTTATACTATTGCTTGCAGGTCACACTTTGTGATAGCTTGATACAGATAGATACAGATTTGCTTTCTTAATCGTACATGTACGTGCTAATGGCCATTTGTGTGATATTTGTGGTAATAAGGAAAATTAGAGAATAAACCCTCCATGCCCCTGTGGGCTACAAAATCCTATGAATCTACAGTCACCATCCTAGAGCCATGGGCTCGGGGGGTTACCCAAGGTTGTGGCACCATGTTACAGCTTAAGGCAGCCAAGTGCAGGATGCAAAATAGCCATAAAAGAATAAGGAACAACACGCACAGAATTCTCTAATATCAAAATATAGCAATTTATTCAAGACACTGAATATGATCTGTTGATTCTCTCCTTAAAACAAATGAGCTACAATACACAAGGTGAATTTGAAGAAAGTGTGGGTGGGGGAGAAACAAAATAAGGGTTGATGTTGTTTCAACAGAACCTGGAAAATGCTGAAATGAGAACCAAGTCTGGCTGCAAGTCTGACACAGACAATAAAAACTGCAGAAGCCAGAATTCAGAATTTCAGTGAGTGGCTGAAAGAACATTTCTGCAATTGACAAAGAACCACATCTTTTAAAAAGACAAAAGGAGAAAAAAAAAAGGAGGAAAAATTAAAAAGGGAAAAAGAAAAAGAAACCCAAAAACAAAGCAGACCCTTACATTTGACAAAGTGCACTTCACTTGGCTCTAAAATTAGCTATTTAAAAAAAATTAAAAGGAAATTTCTAAGATGTAGCATGGGGTTAATGTGTGTATAACCCTGTAAGTCTGGCCCTTTGGTGCCCCATAAGGGACCCAGTGTTTTCTACATAAAAGATTCAGTATCCTTCTAACCCATAGAGCGGATGTTTTTTCAGCAACTGTTTTTTGTTTCTTTCACTTCAAGGCCAGTTCCAGCCAGCCAGCAATGGTAAAAGTCCAGTAAGTCTCTTGATGGCTTCACAATCCCACTTGGTCACTTGTGGCAGGAAAGCGAGAGCTCCATGAGGTGGTTCTGCAGGTCTGGGCTTAGACCTCCATGTTGAACCACAGCCTGGAGAAGCTCCACTCTCCCCACTGCCCACCTCCTAAAGAAACCAGCTCCTTAGGCTACATTTTCCTGCCTTCCTCAACAGCTGCCCTTGTTTTAGCTGAAAACTATCTACTACAGTATCTTTGAGGATTCTCCAGTCTCTAGGCTCTTGGGAAGGGGAAAAAGGTGAGCTTCCTTAGCTTCTCACATACGCTGCCTTCAAATCCAAAGGTCTGTGCAGAAAACTCTCTGGACTGGCAACTTTGGAAACCAACTGATTTTCAAATTCTTGGCTTCTTACCTCTGTGTAGGTGGGTAGAGGGAAGGTGGTGTTCTCAGAATTTAAAAAAAGGAAAAAGAAACAGGCGTTGTGGACACTGCCGAGTCATCTACAGTAGCTATCCTGGGAACAGCCATGAAACACAGGCTATGCCACCAGTCAGCCATGTGGCGTCATTGAACTTGGCCTGAGCAACCTCATCCCTTTGAATCCTGAGGTCTGGTCCATTCAGGCGTCACTCAAGGGACAGAGGCAGGGCCAGGGTCCCATCCGCACGGCCCTCAAAGCCTGCAGGCTGGAGCTCCTCTGTGTTATTCTCAGAAATGTCACCCAAAAGCAGCCCGGGGAGTTAACCGTGTACACGCAGTGAATGTAGTCAAATCATTCACCCAACCGTGTGTTATAAAACCACATTAAAACTTTGTATTCAAAGTCAAGTCTCTCTTCAAATAAGTAGCTTTTCTTTTTAAGTAGTGGCTTGGAATGAATAGGTACACCTAGTTATTATAAATGGTGCAAAACTGCCATCTGATCATCTGCAGCCCATGCTCTTGGAGCAGAAAACTAAAACCAACACATAAATGCATTTAACACCCAAAATAATCCTTGATACCCACCCAACCCTAGCTGTCATTAATAACCAAAATCCCACACAGCTGTTCTCACGTCAGGACTAAGTAACCCTTTTATCAGTTATTTCTTTTCATCCTTTTCTGCTTTCCAAACATGTGCCCTTAAGCAGTGCAGCTGAAGCTGGCAGTGGCGAGTTCCACTGGACGGGCTCGGACGCTGTGGGATGGCAAGCACAGAGAGAGGAGAACACAGGAGAAAAAACCATGCGCAGCTTCCCCCGCAGGCCTGACACCACTGGCTCAGCTCTAGGGCTCTGGTTTGGGTTCTGCTCACATCAAATCCCCGTTTCAGCAGCTGTGGTCAATCAAAGGGAAGACACTGTGTTGCAGAGAGTGCCTTCTGGTGGGAAGGTGCTATGTGGTGTTACGGGGTTCTCTCCTTGCTGACTTGTCTCTCCTACAAATCCTAGCCTAGCCTGTGGGCTAGAGGACACCGGTGTGACTTGGCCGGTTTTGAGGATCTGTCTGAACAATGGCGGCCACCAGCCCAAGGCTGCCTTACAGTTTACAACACTCTCAGTAAACTCTGCTATGCATCCCTCTTTGCAGCCAACGTCTGCTCTCAGAGTAGTCTTAGCAGGCATCCCTGTAGATGTCTACCCTGCAGTAAGGAGAACTTGTCCCAAGTAGAAAGGTGGTGCTTTGAAGGTCTTTGTTGTCATTCCAGTCATTTCACTCACTATCTATGTATGTGGAGATGTAATTTATACGTCTGTTATAATGTCCTCACCTAATGGAGAGTTCCAAGTTCTCTTCCGAGCTCTGCGCTGAGGACACCCTCAGGGCTAAATCTGCCAGGGCAGGCAGTGAGCCTCCCTGTGCAGACCCCCAGAGCTTTCCTTGCAGCATGCAGCCCAGGCACGGCTGAGGGCGAGCAGCACCGCGTGCTGCCAGATGCAATGGAACAGCCTGCTGGCCACGGATGGACAGGATCTTGGCAAGAGTCCATTCCTCAACAGTGACAGATGCAGTCGCTGTATCGTGGTTCAACTGGTCTCAGGGCAAAAATCCCACTGACTTACTGGAACAGAAACTGCTGAGTGGGATTAATAGTGGAGGACTGCACTGCTCCACAAGGCCATGGGCAGCCCAACTCATGTTCTGTGTGAAATTTAGAGGAAAGAAGATACACAAGTGTTTTCCCCTGCTTACTGAGGATATACAAAAATATAGACTCAAGAAAATGAATGCTACATTTATAGCCTCAAACAGCCACAAAAATGAAATGAGACTATTTAAATGTCTGGCTGCTGGAAGAGGACCCTTATTAAGTGACTGGCGTTTGTTGTACCAAATGGCATTTTTTCTTACAGCACTTTCTGAGAGAGAAGAGGAAGAGGATACTGCACCTTTCATGTTCCTTGGACTCTGTGTCGTTCTTTTTGCTTGAATTACACAACTGGTCTACATTTGGTGGCCATTTTAGGCTTTTAAAACTGTTTAACATAAAAAATATTTTTTTTTCCAAAAATACACTGGGTTCTTTCTGTTAAAAGTCATCTTTCTCCTGTAAAAATCTTCCCCAGCACTGCATTCTTATATAAAGCACTTATTACACAATTTGCTGAAAGTGCCCTTGAGACGCTAAGATCTGAAGCATGGAGGATTTTTTTTTCTTTTAAAAGGAGAGAAAGAAGGGAAAAGGAAGAGACAGAAGAGAGGAGAAGCAGTCTGTCAAAAATTTTCATTGTCATGTCCACCTGGCTGCATCTACTATGGGCATACAGGGAAAAAAAGAAAAAAAAAAGGGCAAGAAGAAAGAGGAGAAAAAAACAGGAAGGAGAAGTTGGGAGTGGAAGGGAGAAATAAAAGGAAAACCAAATTTTCATCCTAAGCCTGGGATCCTCCAGGCTGTAATATTCCAGCTGATAGAAAAACCACTGAACAAAAAAAGTAGTCTAGAAAATAGAAAGTGTTGTGATTACAAAGTTGAGCATTTCATCAGTACAAACTGGTCTTTGAACGTCCTTTGGGAGAGCAACTGTAGTGTCCAAATTGGAAGGAAAAAATACAACACCGCATGGAAGAGGATTTTTTTTTTCCCTTTTGGTTTATCACAGCATTTTTCTTTTTTTTTCTTTTTTTTTTTTAATTAATTTTTTTTTGGCACAGCTTTTTTTTTTTTCCTAGCCATCAGAGCAAGTTCTCAGATGCAAACCAAACAGTGCAATGCCTAGCTGGTGGCTTCATGCTTCCAAGGCTGAATGTTCCAGGTGGAAACCATTCCCTCCCCCTCTGAAGTGCCTGTGTTTTTACTCCTGGATGAAGGTTATGAACAACATACTAGACACCTGTGGCCAGGGAGAGTTGGTTTCACCGTACACTCTAACTTTGTTCAAGTTCGTACAGTTCTGGAGCTGTTAAGAATAGTTTTGAAGAGTGCTTCTCCCCACACATTCACTGCTGGTCCATTTGACATTTCTTCTAAAACATTTCACTTTTACTTCCGCAGATCTAGAACACAAACCTGGAGAGAAAAGACTCAGCATTAAGAACCATTTCTGCAGGTGATGTGGAAGTCCTACTCATACACGGCCACATACGTGGGCTGACCAGCCAGCTGCATGTTATGCTTCCCACCTCCAGATCAGCCTGTCTCAAGTACCTGTTTACATGCACACAAGAAAGGGAACAAACCAACATGGGACAAAACCTAGGAAAACCACTCATTTAACATTTAGCTGGGCTTTCACTGGATTGCAAACATTTTGGTGGGCCCATCCCAGATAAAATGATAAGCTCTATCTATGTGCCTAAATACTGTGTCCACTTTTGTTTCTGAAATATATTCAAAATAGATGCAGGCCTGGCAGGCATGGCAGAGGACCTAGAATGGACTCAGGTCCATTTGGAGCAGCTGTTGGAAGCTAGGCTTGGTACCATCTCAAATGGCAAAACTAATCTCAAGCAACTGAATCATGTTGTAGGTGTACCCTTTGTTAAAACCACTGGAAAAATACTGCTCTAAAGTAGTTATGCCAGCCAGCCATACAGAAGAGTTATTTTAAAAAGCTGCAGAGCCTGTTATAAAATCTGTGAGTCCTTCACAAGCCGATCATGCTGCAATTAAAATTTTTAAAAGTCACGTTAACAGCAGATATAGTAATGAATAATCAGTATCTCAATGGCAATATTCCTCCTTTACCACATGATAAAATCTTTGGGTATCATGCTGAAAAATCCCTCCTTTACATACTATTCCAGAGGAAACTTTTGTGGGATAAAACTCAAGAAGTCCCAGAGGTGACTGTGGAGATCTGACCTTCATTAAAAATTGGCATGTGAGATAAATGACAGGAACAGCACTACTGCTGCTCTTATCTGATATGTATCTAAAAGTCATTCCCCTCTTCAGCAATATTCCAGGGGCATTCTCAGTAAGAACACCACCTCCTAGTATTCAAAACCTTTCAAAGCAGGAGCATTTTTAATACACTACACACAGCTACTTATTTATTTGAGATGCCTACACCTTCAGCTCTGTCCACAGGAGGTGATGGCATGTAAGTTTTCTGTTGACACCCTCCAGAAGAGCAATCTCCACCCCACATTTGCAAGGTGTAAAGCTCCTTACCGATCCATCTGATGCGCTTGCTCCCACTTTGTCTCCTCTAGCATTCCAGCAGACTTCAAAGATGCCCCCGGTGCCTCGGTAGCTATGTACTAGAGTTCCACTCTACAAAGCAAAACAGCATGCAAACATTTGATACAGAAGCTCCCCTTCTTCTCTGTCATATTACCTTAAAAAGAAGAGAGCGGTGGCAAAGGGGAGCTACTTCTATCAGCCAGCTATGGTCATCTCCAACATGGTGCTTAAGTTAGGAAACTGGTCTTTGATAATGAAGACAAACAGGCTCCTCCAGAAAGCAGTTTACAGTAGGACTCTTAGTTTTTGTCAACTCTGTTAACAGTAAAGGCCTGGGGAGTTAAGCTGAGGTGGTCTTCTCTGAAGTTTATTGTTAATTCAGGTTGTGAGGTATCAGTATCCAGAATTAAACCCGTGGAACTATGATGTCCCACTTTTCTCCAGAATATCCCCAGTCCTCAGTCTGTACTGTACATCCTTTGTATCTATCATCCCCTCATTGCAAAGTCTATCATCAAAGCTCATGGCATGACGTAATGCACCTATTTGACATATGCTAGGTGTTCTAGCATATAAAGAGGCCTGAGCAGAAATGTTCTGGATGGTCACCTCACTCCACCTGAGTGACTCAGCTGTTATACTGGGATTTGTGTCAGCCAATAAAACCAGGTTCACCTTGTCTGGCAGGTCATATGCTATGGAGGCAGATGTATTTTCCACTTAAGCTTTTGCTATTAATGTGCCATCTAAATCAGATGTGCTTCCCATGAAGCCAAACAATACCTGAGTATTCCATATATGGACACATTTGTCAAAGGACCCACTGGCTAGATATTTTCCATCAGGACTAAAAGCTACACTGTAGACAGGCTCTTGATGTTTTGTTAACGTATGGATGCAGACTCCTCGGTCAACGTCCCACAGCCGAACAGTGGAATCAAACGAAGCACTGCAAGGAACATTCAAACACAACCATGTCTGAATTTGGGTATTAATCAATCTGTAGTTTGATACTGTAAATTTTTTAAGAGAACAGCACAAGTTTTTTCCTTGGCTAAGCAAGACATAATGTTTCAAACAGAAAAGATAACATGCACTCCAGCCTTTATGTTTTTTTTTTTTTATGACAAGAACCACATCTACAGAACTGAATTTTTACATGAGGACCTTTTGAGTTTATCTAGGTGTGTTGTTGTATATAGCATCAGACCACTAGCCCTGGCAGGGCCAACCTCCCTCCTTTTGAGATCCTATCTGCTATTATTCAGGAAGATTAGTATTAAATTATATATTTATATATA